CAGTGGCAAATAATCACTTAGGGGCCAGAATTTAAAAACATTCTTTCTGCTGAAATCTTTTGAGAGACAACTCTCTGAAACTTTAGATTTTAACAAAACAACCATCAAGCAAATAGAGAAACCAGTAGCGCTATCTGTGGTAACAGTGGTTAAAAGAACACTGCCAAAAAACCTTGTGTTGGTGTCCTTTTTTGCAATGAAAGTCTTTTAAAATGGCCCATGTTACAGTGTTTTCTGATCTACTGTCCTAAGTTATAATGTTGTTTTCTCATCAAAAATATCCCTGAAGTTGAGCTTCATTTCATTCACACGTTTAATGCACAAACTGCATATTTAGGCTGAGTTCTTCTAAACAGAAACCACTCTATTCCACCACTTTCTGTCACAGTTCTCGCACTGTTTACATGTTATCCCCAGGCCAGCTCCTACTACTGTTGCCACTCATTCCATAAGCATCTCAGGGCAGGCTATATAAATTCCCTGTGTTCATTCAGTCTTTGTTAGATTGTTGATTAGTCAAGAGAGACACTCAAGCTTTGTATCTGAAACTCTCAGTATGAAATCTGCTGTTTGCAGTTTGTGCAGTTTATGAGTTTATTCCCAGCCCGTTTTCTAATTAGAGAATTTTTCAGTTTTGGAGGATATTTTAATTCACATAATAAAGTCATATATTCCTTTGTTGTTTATCAACCTGATTTATCGTATTAAGCTTTACCTATTGAAAGACACTTTCTATTGAACTGAACTAAGACTTTTGTGTTTGACGTTCTTTGTGTTGTATTTGAATCCAAGTTCCCTGCGTGATACTTTCACTTGAATCATTTGGAATATTTCAGCCCTGAGATTGCTAATCTCTACTGAACAAAAGGTAAAAGGTAGCTGTTAACTTGAAAACTACTCCTTCATGACATCACAAGGTGGAACAGGGCATTTTGAGCTTTGAAGATATATACAGACTAAAAATTCAGGATTACTCAAACACGAATGAAACAAAACACATATTTTTTTATGAGGAAACAACATTATAAAATGACTCACAAGACTCAGTGTTGCATAATACAGGATTTTTAATCTGTCTTGGATCTGTAACCATGTCTACCCAACAGAAGTGGCTCAAATTGAGTGTTGTTCAGTTGCTGATCTTGTGCTGAGATTTTACCGTGAGTAGTGGAACGCAGATGTTTGCTATTTCTATATTTGTGTTCTACATGCCTGCATTATATTTAAGTTGTAAATCTAGATAGTTAAGTACAGTTTTATGTTTTTTTTGTTATGCCCTTGCCTAGGACTAAGATTTCAAACACGCACAGATAGAGAAGAGCTTTGACTGCTGTACATTGTGCTCTTTAGCGAGGGGCGTGAGCTGTCTGATGCATGGTTCCACACAGGCATCCTTTAAGCTTAATGACCTGTCGTTACAGCACACATCTGCTGCAGTTTATCTCCATTTTAATTGGGAACATTATGTTTTATGTCTACATTAATAAAGCAGAGGCTGAGAAGCATCCCCAAAAAGTCATTATGATGCGCAGGGAAGGAGAACACAACACAGCTGGGGGCACTCTGTCTACTTCCTACTTTATCAATTATTTGTCTAGAGCTGGTTTCTAACAGTAGTCAATAGATACCTTAATAGTACTCTCATAGCAACTACTATGATCAGACAAAACATGTTTCATTTATCAACAATAATCTTGTACCAAAATGTTTTGTATTGTATTGATAATCTCACACAGACACTTGCCCCCATGAGTTGAGTGTTGCAGATGAGGCGATGGTGAAAGAGAGAGAGAAAGAAAGCTCTACAAAGGCCCAGCTGCCACCTCGATGCTGTGGCTGTTTTGGGAAACACAGTGGTGATTCACGCTGGCAAATTGATTCATTTCTTGCACTGATAAGAACCTTTTCCCCTTTGTGGCTGTATGCGACAAACACTTAGAAAAAAACATCAACAAAAAACACCGAGCTATAAACTTGTAACGTCTGACATCAAACTACAGCTTTGGAATGGACGCCATCACAATTAGCATGTTTGTCAATAATATAGGTTTTCTGCAAGAAGTCTTTATGTTCATATGTTTATGATTGCTAGGCAGCCATCTTAAAGCGCACTGTGTTGTGATTGCAGCAGCTTTACCATCTCTGTGTCCCTGAGTACCTGGCAGTGTGCGGGACATTCTCAGCGGGAGTGTGTTTGTGTAATGTGAAAACAGGGGGAATGGAAAGCTTTGACCAGCGCTTATCAGTCTAATGTCCATAGCAACAAACCAGGCACTAAAAGAACAAACATCCTCACATCTCTGCTTTGCTCTCATGGTGATCCACCAGTGCTCCTCTGAAGATAGTCCATGAGTCCAAATATATAGGCTACATCCAAAAAGTTAGCACACTCTTGAATGTGAATATTTTTATGTTCACTTGTTTTGTGTTCATTAAAAAAAGGGGGAAAAAGCAAGAACATTTGTGTGAATGGTTTGAAATTTATGTTATTTTAAGAGATCAAGAGAAAACATTGAATAAGTAGATTTTAAAGATACACAATGTAACTTTTCAGTTGCGTGTCTGTCACCTGCTTATTTCTGGAATGTTCAGCCTGGAAAGTTCCACAATATGACATTAAACAACTCTACCGTACATTTATTCAATTATAGGTGGTTTTCTGGCTCAAATGCCTAGAAAAAACAGGCATTCTGGCTGTGAGCAGGGTTGCCTCTCCACAGATTTGGTGTGTAACTTGGTCTGGTTTGGTCTCCATGAAGATAGAAAGGTTTAACGCCATACTGTGAAACATTCCAGACAAAACAATAACATCTCCATAGAGAAAAGCATCTGATGGACCCTACATCAGAAAATGTACATAGTGCGCCTTTAACATGGGAACACAATTGTAGACAAAAATGAAACATATTATTTAGGAAATATAAATCAGCAAAATAGTTAAAGTGTGTTCCTTTTGTCTCGTGGTCTTGATGTCAGAAATTCTGCAGCTGTTGCCTTCTTAGAGGCTTGCGAGCTTCAGGAAACAGGGACAAGCACTTACTCTTATCTGAAATGTCAAGTCCCACAGATGAGATTGGCAGCTAGTTTTACAGATATCAATAGTCTCTTGTGCTCGATGTAATGCATGTGTATAAACTCAGTGTTGTCCTAATGTGCTTATAGTGTACATGACGAGTGGACTAAACTGCAAACATCCTACAGCAAAGTACCAGCATTGTGTTTCAAATTCTCCATATTCAAGGACAATGGTGCTTTGCTAATAATTCATGGGAAGCACATGTTTATTACTTATTTTATGTAAATTGGTTCTGCATGCTTCAGCATGCCTCAAATTATGCAGCGGCAGGTCCAGGTGAGCATAAAAAAACACCAGACTACATTTGTTTACCTAGATGACAGGCTCACAGTCACAGACAGGAGACAACGCTGTCCATGGTCCTGTCTACCATATCAGTGAAGACAATGAAAAACACGTTCAACAGGATTGTTTTTTAATATTTTCTAAAAAGATCCAGACAAATGTATTTTTATCCCACTACACAGCTTACTGACACTGTCTGAAAACAGCTTTCAGACTATGAACAGGGCAAAACACTCATGGCTTTGGCTCACAATGTCAGACCAATAATGTTATGGTTTGCACTGTCCATAATTTTCAACACACTATGGGCTTCAATAATCCCCTTCATTTGGGCAGTTTTGCACTCTATTGGCACATTGTAATTGAATTTCATTACTTCAAAACAAAACACTAACACTATCAATTTAGGAGAGTGAAAGATTTCTGGAAGACTTAGTTTTGTTTTTACTTCTTGTTCAGCCAGAATTGTTACAACCAAGTTAAATGTTCAGAATATGTAACTTTGCAGTTACTCATCTATATAATATGCTTAAATATTTTTTACATTATATGTAATTTTTCTACACCCAATCTAATTTACTCCTTACATGTAACATTGGAGCAACGATATTTGAGAGATAGTGTCACTTCATCTTAATCGATTTAACGTTTACACATGCCTGGGTAAAATCAATATACCAACATAAATTCCCCTTTCCACACATTCATATAAATAAAGACACCAATATGTGCTCACATGTCCACCTTAAATGAATGTTCTTTACCCTTTACGTCACAGACCTCGCTCAGTTTACTCTTTGCTATTTCACAGGCGATGATTAAAATGGCAAAGTTTTTTTTTTTTACCAACTAAGCAGATGTTTTTTCCTTTGCTGTGACTTTTATAACAATGTGCAATGACAAATGTAATGTGCAAACTGAACAGTGACTTTTGTCCTCATGCTTCTCAATTAGCCATTTTTGGATGTTTAGATGGGTTTAAATACACTGGAAAAAAGTATAGGCGAAAGATATTGTGACTTACTGGTCATTTGTTTTACCCCTTTGGTGTAGATGTATGCACCTGTCTATTTACTTTCACACTGAAAAACTTAATACCTGTGTAACTTAAAACAAAGCTGGGGTTCACATGATGCAACGTAGCATTGTAAAATATCCATAGTTTAATATTTAGTTGAAAGACAAATCAGAATATAGTAACATTTGCTATTTACTATCAAAATGCAGATCTTTTGACCTGGCTCGTTGCCATTGCCTGACTCATCTGTAATTACTGGACCTATCCACATGAAACTGGGGTAGTTTAATGTTTTGTTTTTATGTTGTTGTTTTTTTCTGCCAGCACAGTTGAACTACTGAGAATTTGTAGGGGTTCAAAAAGATTGAATTCATAAAAATAATTTTACCACAAAGATGTGAATGAGGGATTTTAGGATGCAAGATTAATATGTCAAGTTTGTTGTCCTGATATCTATCAAATAATGATAAAGTCCAAGTTACTTTCGTGGATGTTTAGTTTGGCTATTTCTAATAAAACGATGAAATGACCATAGAGTTATAGGCCTCTGCCCTCATCTGGAACTATAACATGATATTCTAATCTAGAATGACATGAACACAACCTGTTAAAGAAATAATGTCATCAGAACATACTGAAAATTTTAATTATTCTATAACAAAAGAAAGTACAATAGCCCAGTCTCTGATGCTGGGGTGCAGGGCTTGGATGTGCATCCAAGACAGTTCCACAAGCTGCTTCAGGAACACAAAGACACCCGGGTATTGTTTATATAAAATGTATCTTTATAATAAACCAATACACAACACATGTAGCTCTATGAAGCATTCAGAGAGGAAATGTGTGTTTTTGTGAATGAAATTAAGGTCTCTTCTTGTAAGTGTAAAGCATTCTTATTGGCTGTTTGTGTGTGTGTAGCTTAGTTCAGTCAATCCATAAAAAATAAAGGCAGAAAAAGCTTCTGGCAGTAATAAAAGGATGTATCCGGATGTGTTGACTGCTTCCTCTGATGCTTGTGGGCAGTAAACACTATTGTAATCTCCTCCAAGATGGTGCTTTAAGATTGAGTCTTCAGATTTTCTCATGTCAAAATGGAAAAGAGAAACATCAGTGAGGCTCATAAAATCCTTCATGTTTTATAAAAATAAGACTTAATTTTTGCTTGATCACAACGGTGGACTGGTGGTTACTCATAGAATGCCATAATCTCCCAGTGACTTGAGCAGAACCGTGTCTTTAACGTCATCAAAGACCTTCCTGATATTGTTCGTGTCAGTGGCGCAGGTGAAGTGTGGATACAGAGTCTTGTTGACAGACCTCTCCTCATACATCCGGCGGATAAACATCTGTGCATCCTTCACGTTCTGCCTCTGACCTGTTCAGACAAGGTTTTTACAATTTTTTGTGCAGCAACACACCATTTAAGAACATATTTAAGTTGCACTTAAGTTGTGTAAACTATTTATCATTCTTAACAAATATTAATATTTCAAAAAGAAACACTTAAAACTAATGTAAAGCTGTAATAATTATTGTCTGTAATTGAAAACAAATTAAGTTTTTTTCTTTAAAAACAAAGATAACACTTCACTTGCTAAGGAGTTCTTCAAAGCTTGTGTAGAAAAACATCCAATCAAGCAAGTACCAAGAGCTCTTTAAAGTTCCCATTAAGGTTAAATTGACATGAGGGGCTTGACCCTGAAGTCATTATTTTTGCTAGCTAATGCTACGGCAACTAAAACAAAGTAGATACACAAATAATCAGACAGTGTTATTTTCCATCTCACAAATGCATGCTCCGGGGTTTGTGGGGGGCTGAGAGACCAAGTGAGGTATTTGACCGAGGTTGCCATGGGAAACGGAGCCAGTGAAAAGGCTGGGGGTGAGCCATCAGGGTGTGTGTCTGAGGACTGTTAGGAAGATGCTGTAGTGTACAGCCTTTTACACCAGCAGAGATATGGGTTCTCATCAGTAAGCACACCAAGTACATGAAGCAACTCATTTACATGAGTGTGAGTGAGGGAGAAGGGAAAAGAAAGATATCGAAAACAAAATACTGTTGACACACTGGCATTTTAGGAACATCTTTCTCATAGTTGTCCCAGGAACCATTTCCATTTTTTTTGTCTTGTCTTTTCATTTCATAGTTTGCACTATATTGGTCACAATAATGGAAGGTTCCATCACTGTCTCAAACAGATGTCTTCATCAGTACAGTCACCTGTATTGTTTCTTTTGTCCTTAGGCACAAACTTATGTAATCCTCTAAAAACATGCATTTTTTATACATACAAACCACATGGGTTGACTCTTACCAGGGAAGCTGGGGAAGTATCTCTTCAAGTCAGAAGTCTGTATTTTGTCAGCTAAGATGTCAGTCTTGTTGAGGAAAAGTATGATGGAGGTGGTGAGGAACCAGGGTGAGTGGATGGTGATGTAGAACAGAGACAGGCTCTCATTCATGCGGTTCTGAAGGGACAAATGGCAGCAATGTCCATGCAATTATTCAACAGAATATTTTGCTCAAAACAGTTGTGGAGAGATAGGAAAATGACAAATATGATTTAGAACAAGCACAGAGGGTAAGAGAGTGCCTGAGGGAGAGGAAGAAAGGGTCATGTAGAGTGGAGGTTTGTGAGCATGTTGGCGAAGAGAAAATAAACAGCTCACAGAAGACCACACAAACAGGACATTTATTTAAGCAAGAGTGACATCTGTTGGTTAATGTGTGGCAGTGAGTATTCAAAACTCAAAACAAGCATATTAAATACATATCACCACTTATTGAGAGTTCAATTATTAACTTAAAGAGGTGGATCTGAATGTGAAATAGGGTTAGAGGGTTAGGCACCATCACTAATCACAATCACCCTCTTTTAAACACAAAAGGGTCATACTTTCAGAGGTTACAACCCGGTTGTTATTCCCCTACTATACACTTTCTATTGTTGGAAAACCAGTTTCAGCTCAAGAATTTTTTTTTATTTCTTTCATATATATATATATATATATATATACATAATCACAGCTGCCCTGGGACACAAGGCAATGCTTCCAATCTGCACCATCAGACCCCTCTTTCATACTAGGCAAAGTGGGTGAAGTGTCTTGCCTATGGATACAATGACACAACTTGGTCCATGTGGGAACTGATCCTCTGACCTTTGGACTGGTCGACGAGTGCTCTACCGAGTGAGCCTTGATAGTTATAAGCAGCAGTGTGCTTATTTTAAATTTTGGATTGTTGGAAGACAGTGCCAAAGGTGACAGTGTTTGATTTTACAAATGAATGAAAATGCATTCAGTGAGCTTCATTAAAACATTGAAACAGGAAAGAGTGTAAGAGTAACTTAAAGCATAGCAGTGCATCATGATCTTACAATTGTTTCTCTTTCCTCCAGAACTTGATCATACTCGCTGAGGGATGCCAGAAAAATGAGAGAAGTGACATTTTCGAAACAGTGAATCCATTTGCGACGCTCTGACTTCTGACCGCCAACATCTACAATCCTGCAGAGAAACAGAGCAGAAGTCAAAATTTAGTTGAAGAATTTTTGGTTTAATGAGGTAAGGATGTTTTATAACAAAGAACTTCCTGACCTTGTTAAGTAAATGTGGTGCAATCATTGGCACAAGTTAATGAGGTAGTATAACAAAAGGGCATATCTGGACACTTACAGTCAATTCTGAATCTCTACAGATTACACTAATATAATGTACACTATTTGTATTGTATACTAATAGTGATACTACATGTTTATAACACACACACACACATATATATATATATACACATATACACCAGTGTGATACATTCTACTTTATTATACAGATTTTTTATTTTTTTTTAAACAGTAACCTTAGAGTGATGTTTTTGATGGTGAAGGAGTAGTCATGGATGCCTGTTGTTGGGAATCGAACTCGCAGCACGTCTTGTTCTGTGGGTATGTAGTCTGGGGAAGCAATGCGGTCCAAGTTGCTCAGATAGCTGGGAAAGACAGAAGCAGTTTAGAAAAGGTCTTTCAACTGATCAGATGGCATTTAAGTTGTTGTAATTATGTAAAATCTATAATAATAATAATAATGATAATAATAATTACAATGAATGTGTATTTTTTATGTCATGTATTTTAGAGTCTGTATAGTCCAGAGAAGAATTACTCATTGCATCTTGTTTTACTTTGTGAATTGGGGATATAAATTCACCACATAACTGTATTGAGTCTATAACCCTCTTCCGTCAGATTACAGTTTTATGGATTGTGTTGATTCTAGCTGCCTCTCTTATCAGCCTCACACCATGATTACTGCGCTCCTAAGCAAACACTATGGGGGCTGTACAGAATAGGAAATCAGAGATGGCTGAGACATGTATAACGTAAAGAAAAAAAAAAAAAAAATTATATATATATATATATATATATATATATACATACATACATACATACACACACACATACATACACACACACATACATACATATATAATAATAATAATTATTATTATTAATAAAATTACCTCCAAGCACAGTAGCACGCCCTGTGATATTGTATTTTTGTCCCTCTAGTGGTCATTCAGGAATATGAAACCAAAGAAAACTATATATTATGCTTTATGACAGTATTTCAGTTTTGGTTTATGTGAAAAATAATATGGAACATAACCTTTATTGCAAATATCGTTACTCAACTACATTTGTATTGCTGATAATGTTGCATTAAAGCTGTGCTAATGTGTTTTCTGAGAGCAGCGTGACTCATAGGAGTTTAGCAGAGTTAAGCAGTGAGGGTTTTCGTTCAAAGGTCAATTGTAGCATACTAAAACATATATCAATATATCACCTCATGTAGACCAATGGACAACATGACCACACCTAATCTGTTCCATTGTTTAGTTTACACTATAAACTTCTCTAAAATAATGATATTTTTAGTAAACAGCAGCTGCACTATATATCAAAAGTATAAATATTGCAATGTTGGCTGATGCAATAATCAATATCGCAACAATAAACTAAATATATCGCAATAACACCAAGGCCCTCTATCTGACAGATTTTTTTTAAAGACAGTATTGAGGCTGATTTGTGTTATTTTCCAAATTAGGGATGATGGACTCTAGTTTGACTAGTAACCTAAGGCATATACATAACTGTTTTGTTAGAATAAAACAAAATATTACATAAAATACTGCAATAATTCCAATATTACAGTACTTCACAGCCTAAACCGTATAGTGCATTACATTAATGTTTAGAACTGGCCTTCTGTAACAGTATTACTCTCTTTTCAACATGATTCCCACTTGAACCATGGCTGGGTCTCGATATACTGGTAATAATCTCATTGTGATTTGATCTTCAGTCTAACCATTTCTGTAATTGAGAATATTTAGTACTGCTCGCTGGTCAGGGCTTAAAACCTGGACTACTTCCGACGCTCTATTTACAGCTGGTAACTAGCTTGGCAAGTTTAGTGTTAGAACTAGCAGATATTATTTAATAATTCACCATACATGTGCATAATGTAGCACTTAATATTCTCTTCCCTCTGTGACAGAGGTGAATAGTGAGAAAAGAAAAGAACTACAACTCCTATAAGTTTGAGGACATACCAATCAATCCCACTGCTTTGTGTCAATTTAACAGGAATAAGACAGAACACCAGCCAACCTTCATTATATGGGAAACTTTTTTGTCATTGCGGACCAGGCTACAAAGTGACACATTATTTACTTACTACTCGGTGGAGTCGAGGAGCTGGTACTCGCACCGGCGACTGTAGCAAACTCTGATGCCTGAGTCCGCCCACAGGCGTCTGATGGCATCCACGTATCCTCGCTCTAACTGAGTAATCTGCACTGTGTTTATCTCCTGCAGCCACTTGGCATAGATCTAGAAGCACCAAAGAGCTTTAAGCAACTTTGTACAAGATTCACACAAAATTGTGTTGTGTGGCAACTGTCTGCATTAGTTTTGTTTTGTTAGATTCGGCTCTACCTCATTCTCTGGGTTGGAGTAGGGGATTTTGAGTGTTGTCATTGCAGCTGTCATGGCTTGGACGGCTGTGAAGATGTTCTGAAATATACATTTAGCAAAAGTCTTTCTGTCCACTTCAGAGAAGCCTTTGCCATGGATGATACGCATCTGTCTGATAAAAGTAGTTTTGCCACTCTCCCCAGTTCCTAAGGGGAAAAATAAAAATACAGAGACAATTATTATTATTATTATTATTATTATTATTATTGTACTGTTGAGTACAATTTTTGACTACTCTACCCATCTCTGATAATCATGTAGTAAAACTGCTTAAAAAACACTAAATCCTTCTTTGCATGTGACGTCAGATATAAATAATAATCAGACGTTATTACAGTCATACATTAGTAGGCCTATGTAGCATAAGACCCGCTGATGTACTGTTGATTTTGTTCTTTTTTACTGGTCGAACCACTGCCAATGTGGTCATTCCTCACATAGTCATAGTGTGACACATACTTGACATAGTTTTTGGAAGCAGGCTACCAAACAGGCCAAGCCGTTTTAAGCAAGGTGTTCCGACCTGACAATCCACACTTAATCACTTTAATTAATATAATTGCCTTCAATTGTTTTAAAGACTTCACTTAAAGTGTTGTAAGTTCGGTAACGTGCCACTGACCTAACAGCAGGATTTTGATTTCTTTTCTTTCTTTCTTCTTCTGTTTGTCGAGCTCCTTCTGGATCTTCTTGTGGTTCTTAACAATCTCCTTTTCTTCCTCGGACAAACAGCACACACAGGTGTTGCGGCACCATGTCCAGCAGCTCGCCATCGTGTACACGGCTGGAATTAATGACGGGATAATAAAGCCATAAAGCCCAGGACAGTTTACTGGATACAATTAATTGTGTCTTTAGTCTGAGCAGTGAGATTTTATCATGAAACTTCAACTGCCAAAAAAAAAAAAAAAAAAAAAAAAAAAAAAAAAAAAACAGGGAGAAACACGATCTCCTGCGTGTTTACAAGCAGGTTTCACCACTCACAAGTTTCTGATTTGCTGCCAGTTTGTTACCATCCGACGATGGTTAAGCATTTTCCTGAATAAGCAAACTATAACAATACTTTTAAAGTTTAGTAAAGTAACAACATATCTGTGGGGTAGAATTAGTGTTATCTAGAAATATATTGTTTTTATACCTTCAGTTGTAGTCCGCCGTACGTACTCTCAGCAGGTACGCAGGTAGCGCTCAATCTCCGCGTCCCATTGCAGACGGTCTGTGGCCACTTCACCGACGTTCAACAGAAAACAGCCCCGGACACACTCAACATGAACTCACCAACGAGGATCCACCTGAGATCTATCCCGGGACAGAGGGGTCCACGGCGTTATAGAGGAATGTATAGCCTCCTTGGATCACCGCCTTTCTGTGGCGAGCCAACCACAAAACTGCGGTAATTAACAGTCTCCAACCGGATGTTACACAATAAAAATCACAGCTGTTGCCATAACGCGCCATATGCATGCAAATACAGTGCACAGTTAGGCAATAGAGCTGTATTTGCGTAGGTTACTAAATTCTAACCCAGAAAAATATAAAGCCCTGAAAACAGACTAATTTTCCCTAATTCCATCCGCATGATTAATTTGAAATTATGGATTATTATATTTATAAGATGATGATTATTACTTTTTTATTTTATTTTATTATATAATTTAGGTCTAGTTAGTCAACAATTTAGAGACCAGCATCGTAATGTCAATACGTCACATTTGAGAGTACAAATTATAGATACTTCAAGCGTCTTATTATGAAAAGTCCGTACAGGAAGTGTAATTTCTAAATCATTTTAGCTTGAAGGTTTTTAGAGTAAGTGGCGCTTCACATCGGATAATGTTTCGGCTGGTTTCAACGTAGCCTATTCATTATCAGATTACGTTTAAAGAAACTTTTGTAGCTCAAAAATACGTTTCTATTGTATTTACATTACTAAAACGTATTGGGCAAAAATCATCTGTTTCATGGGATTTCCTATTCCATTATCCTGTTGTACGTTACATTAGCGAATGTTTTGTGTGTTAATCTATTTAATGTCAAGTTAAAAAGTGTTACACCATTACAGGTGGGTCTAAAGGGTAAGTCGCACACTCCATAGGACAGCATGTTATGAATCACCGTCACCGTGAATAGTGTACCACAGGTATTCAGTCACTCCTACACCTCAGCTGCTATTTGGATGTCAATCTTTTGTCTCATCCAGCAGAACCGGTTTGACTGGGGTTTCCTGGACTTAGATATTGAGATTATCTGAGAGGAGGGACTGTGTGAAAGGCGGTCAAGGAAGTTTAAAGCATTTGGACCACATTATGTCTGTAGGCCTAATTGTTTGTGTGTATGTGTGCGTGTGTGGGTGTGTGGGTGTGTTTTGTGTAAATTAATGATTCTAGGCTTTTCATAAAAACCTCAAATTAAGCCATTACCTGACCTTACACCTTGCCTTGCCTTAAGCAGGGGCCAATCTGCAGGGCATAAGGTGCTGGATGGATGGATGGTGAAAAAAAAATTAAAAATAAATACAATTTGGACGAATGACTAAAACATATCCCAGGAGAATCACTAGATATCTCAGTACAGAAAAGTGCAGCACTAGGTGCTAGGAAGATACAGCACAGAACCTTCAACTTCCCAGGGAAGTTGGAAGAGGGAAGAGGGATTGATCTTGGAAAATGGATGAAATTACCGGTGGAGGGTGAAAAAGGAATTTTTTTGGTTTGTATGGACAGGGCAGTAGACAGGGGTCTGTTGTCCCGGGCCCCAGGGATTTAGGGACACAGAATTGGACCCTTTTCCTGTTAATTTATATTAAAAGGGGGCCTGTGTGAGTCTTCTTGCTACCAGGCCCTCAAATGTCTGACGGGCTTGCGTATGGTGTTTTGACATACAAACATAATTCTACATACAATATATAGATCAGTGCAGTATTTGCTGATCATAGGCCTACTAATTTTCATAATTAAGAGAGAAAAAAAATCCTTACACAGATTGACAGAAGTGAAGCTGCGCCATCGACCATGACCAACACTCGCTCACAAACCTCTTTTAATACTAGGCGAGGTGGGTGAGGTGTCTTGCCTAAGGACACAATGACAGAACTTGTTCCGAGCCAGAGTTGAACCTTGGTGGACAAGTACTAACCACTGAGACACTGTTTCTATAATTGTTTAGAGCCTATATTAGGGTGTTTTCTGATGTATGTTACAATGTTGTTTCCTCATCAAAAACACACCTGGAGTTGTGTTTTGTTTCATTCACTTCAAGACATTTATGCTGTGTTCCACCTTCTGACAGTACAGTGCTCAACTGTATTTTTAAACTCCAGACAGCATACACCTTCACTAGAATTATTTGGTTAATTTCAGCCATGGAATTCCCAAACGCTACTGAACCAAAGGTAACTTAACAATTGCTTGAAAACTATAGCTTCATAACATCACAAGGTGGAACAGAGAATTTTGAGCTTTGGAGATGTAGACAGAATAATAGGCTAATAAAAGGTTACTCAAACATGTGTGAATGAAACACAACACAACTCAGTTTTGCGTTCTAGGACCTTTAATAAAGATTGACCTGGGCATTTAATATTTTTTTATTGAATTAAAAATAAGTTTGGAGAGTGTTAAATATGCCACTGATTAAGTCTTGTCTTTTGATGTTTATGAAATACTGAAGGAGAAATAAAATCGAATAAGAAAATCGATTGATCAATATGGGAACATAATTGCGCGTTTTTCCGCGCTTTTTATTATGACCTCGTGCATCATTTTTTGTGACTGTCTGGTATGCCCACTAGGGGTCTCTTTGGTCAAAAAATAGACCTGAGTGCCGTCGCAACTCGCTAGAAACACTTAATAGTCATTTCATGCCATGGGGACCTTGTGGGCACATAAAATATAAAATCAGGAACACACACTCTGTAGTATCCTTTATTATTAGAGCAACGGCAAGGTCTAAAGTTAAATGTGGTTGAATTTTGCTGAAGGTTCCATAGGCTTGACAGTGAGGCCCATATTGAAACATATTTGTAGAGCAGCCCTGGGCATTGTACAGCTCCGGGGCCACATACGGTCCTTTGGTTGACTCTGACCGGACATTTGGCTCATTTGGAATTACAAAATAAACATATGTTATCATTTTACCCCATGCATGGACTAAAGCTGCGTTGCTTTTATTTTAGAGGAATTTTAAATGGCATGCTTTTAAGGCAACTTCATTGTCAAAACAATGTTATTTGCTGCTTTTTATAAATAAATACAATTAATATTATGCAGAATTGAGTTAAGCATTTTGGTCCGGCCCTCCACAATATTTTCTGTTTCTCATGTGGCCCCATGGAAAAATTTATTTCCCACCCCTGTTGTAGACTGTTGAAGATCAGGAGCTAATGGGCCATTCAGATGCATGAATTAGCTGTAGCACAATGCAATGTGATGTTTTTGAGGTGATGGTAGAATTGCAGTGAAATGTAGCTACTGCCTATGATCATTTGGGCCGCATTTGGCCCCCGGGCCACTTTGGGAAGTGGACTCGTCTCAAGGGGTTTAGTTGTTATTACTGTGTCTGAACAGTCCACTGTTATGTAGTCAATGTTTATCTTGCATTTAGCCAAAGTTAGTAAGCCAGCATCAAGTGGGGTTTGGGGGCTCAGAACTGGACGTGTGGGGTGTGCATTTTTTGACAGATGGGCGTTGCCTGCTCAGTCAAATATCAGCTGCTGTCACCGACCCGCCTTCTTCCTCTCAAGCAAACTTGGAAATGTATACATTTACACGAGCCCCGCCCAAAACTCTCACAAGATGGTCTTTCATTTGCTTCACAATTGTCAATCAATCTTATTCCATGTCTACGTCAGCAGCAGCGCCACCAGAGCTCAGGAGTGGGAGACGAGGAGCGTCCACCAGCACCAGAAAAATACCTGGACTGAGAGAGTGCACGGACTAAATGGGGTCATTTGACTACGTGTAAGACTTTTTGCGTCTGAGATATTTTTTATCCGCAGAGCATTTTGGAGATCATCCGTTTTGTGCAATGGAAAACATCTGTCAAGCTCGACTTTCAGTTTCCTAGCCACTAGGCTGCAATTCCAAGGATGGCTAGCTGAGCTAGCTAGCTAACAATTAGCCCTCCCATTTAGCTGTGCTCACAGGACGATTCGACTGGCTGCTCCTCCGCTCCTTTTTTCATTGTGGTTATATTGTTTCACCGCTGGATGTTTTGTGACCATCGATATTTCCATTTAAAGTCAGCATCGATGCTATGTCTTCTGTAAATGCCTTGTTGGACGGGCGCTCATTGTGACTGCGCGGGCGTATACAGTTGGATTCAGGGCGGCTAAACCAGTACTCGGCCGGGCCACCAGCAGACGGCTAATACCAATGAGGCAGCGACAGCACGTAGAGTCCCACTGTCTCTGGGACCGAAGGGGGTAGTCGAAAAAGAAACAGGCTTTTTAGATTTTCAGTGGAGAATCCTGTCATTTCAGTAAGAGTCACAGACGCTGGCACAGTGGATATCACCAGCTTGCCCTCTCGTCAGTCAGTTTCAGCGCTAGCCTTGCTTAGCCTGCAAGCTAAGCAATCTTAAATCGCAGCACACCAATTGTAATTCGCACCATTCAGTTATTTCACTTCAGATAGGAGTGTGGAGTCAATCAGCCGTCCCCGTAGGCTGTGGATTTACACACGGCCTGCTTGCCAAATATTTGACCATTGGCGGCAGTTCTGCAGTCAACACAAGGCCCAATTCTGCACTAAGTAACCATCTTATCCAACGGAGTGCTGAAGTAGCCTGTTGTCCAGAGGAATTGATTGATTTGAGACCAGTCTGCGCCCCTTGACAAACGGGCTTTAGCTCATGCGGTGATGACTTTAGACTCCATGATGGCTTGTTGCCTGAGTGAGGAGGCGAAGGAGTCCAAAAGAATCAACGCAGAGATCGAGAAACAGCTCAGACGGGACAAGAGGGATGCAAGACGGGAGCTCAAGCTCCTGCTTCTGGGTAAGACTGCAGTACAGTTAAGCACAAGCTTCTGATTTTGTTGTGGATGTTGGGTCACGAATGCAAAATGTCTGAATTGCATGCAAAAACACTAACCGCAATTTGCATTATTGGGATCACCGCTCACTCCATCGAGTAATATGTAAATGTCAGGTCATTCATAAGAAGCTTTCATTCATGCTGGAGTTGCAGGCGCTGGATAAATGAAACCCAAACAAAATCTCGATTTACCTACTTGAATATATGACCTACTTACACACAGTTGACTACATAATCTTAATCTTTTTATAGTTTATATTTCATTACTATAATTTATTTCCTTCGTTTGTTTTAATTATATACTATATAAGCCTCAAAAGAACGTCAGCCAATGTTGAATTGAGCATAGCTGAGCATTGAGCGTATGAGAATCTGCTGTCTTACATTCTAGCTTTAGTTTGACATGGAGCACACTCTTTTTCTCTCTTTTATCTCACTCAGTTTGGGGCCCATGGTTCATCCTTTTGTATTGAACAGACTTCTAAATAGGGCATCTTAGTGGTTGACTGAATGCTTTTGGACCTTAAAAATAAAAATGTCAGTCAGGTAGCCTCGTCAATTTCCATGTAACTTGCTTTGGGGGCAGTTTTGTATAGTGAGTCATTTGGCTTTAGAATAAGTCAATACAATGATAATGGTTACAAGCAGACAGTCTGAAGATTGTTGGGTCAAAGTTGTGGTTGTGTGTGGCACATTTTGTGGTACCTCAGTGTCTCCTCCTATGGTGAGGTGTAAGTTGCTTTGTTGCTTGTTAATCCAGGGAAGCTGTTTTACTATTGGTTTTGGTGTTTTGCTTTTTCATGTGTCATGGGAGAAAGTGTGGATGAAGAATGTCTAGTTCCTGCTGTTGCTAATGAAAGTCACATGTAATTAAATGTGTGTCTTTAATGACAGCTCACAAACAGATGTTGTTAATGGAACTCACTCAAATAATGAAATTAATGTTTTTTTGTGTGGTCTTCAGTCAAAATAGTAAATGAATGTTTCAACTTCAAAGGGCACTTGCACACACCTGTTGCATGGGATGACCGTCCTCATGTCACCTCATAAGGCGCATAAAGTTACCTTTTTGTTAAAGCGTATGTTAAATGTTAATACAAAGTACCCTGTATTTCTGAAGTTTAACGTAATGATGAGATACTGTATTTGTACTGTACTTGTCCTCTCACAGCATTCATGTATTCATGTTGTAATGGAAGCCTCAATTGAATGTTGAGGTAATTTATTTTATATGACTAAATGTAGCTTCTGATGCTCTTTGTTTACCCTATAATGACACATTGTCTAATCCAGAGTGTAGGTTTTAGTTATTAAATAAAATTTAAAATAAATTTTCCAACTCTGCTACAGTCACTATTCAGGGGCATGTGCTCAGCTCAAGTGAGCAAAGTAATTTGTTTGGGATAGGGATGCCAGGAGTGTTGAGTTAATGTAGGGCTGAGCGATATAGATTAAAAAAATAAAAAAGTTTGGGTTATTTTAATCAATTTTGTCACCAGTCAGAAGTGACTACTTCTAATTTTCAATTGTATAGCCTCTTAGAAGCCTATTCTCTATTTCAAGCCATTTTGTATAGTCACTTCTCTGTACTCATAATCAGGGCTGGGTTATTATGCTAAGGGCAACTTGTTAAAACTAAACTTGTTTCATAATAATTTTAAACATGAAAAAAATATTAAAACTATTACTAAAAACACAAATGAATCAAACAAATTTGACTTGATTATTTGCCCAGCCCTAAGTCAACAGTGTTGGGCAACACCCTTTAAAAAAGTAATTAGTTACCCTTAACTTTTCCATCAAAGCAATTGTGGTAGTAGCTGTTTTACTGGGTGATGAAAGTAATTAATTAGGGCCCGACCGATATGGATTTTGTTGTGGCCGATATGATACCGATAAAATGGGAGTTGGAGCTGCCAATAGCCGATATATTTAGTGATGTAAAAATTCACTGTAAATTTTGAATTGTTTAAAAAATTTAGGATTGGCTCTAGTGTATTTTAAATTGGGTTTATTTAGGCAACATTTATTGTTCTTCTGACTCTTTTTGTTATATTTACAGACAGTAGATCATATTCTAGCTACTAGTGATGGGTATTCCAGTTCTTTTTAGAGAACTGGCTCTTTTGGCTCGGCTCACTAAAAGCAGCTGGCTCGTTCGGCTCCCAAGCGACTCTTCAGGTTGTTTTGTTGCAAGCAGGACTAAACCAGAACTGAACCAGGTCTAAACCAGGACTGAAAAAGGACTAAACCAGGACTAAAACAGATCTCTCAAAAAGTGAGAGAAAGAGAAAACTCAGTGCCCAATAAGGAGCAGGCTCCCATCGTTCGCTTCAAAGAGCCAGCTCTAAGAGCCATTTCGTTTGCAACCCACTCATCACTACTAGCTAGTAAAGAAACTACCGCTATTAGCCTTTAGCTGTAAATGCTGCGCGCTGCGGTAATTAATTATATTCATAAATGTCATAATTCAAACCTCTATTCACAGCTCATTTACATATCAATGCAGGTCCAGTAACATCTATATGGCCAATATAGTCACTTTACAATAGGTCAGTAGAAGAGAAAACAGAAAACTGTTTATGTGCGGGAGCTACAGCAGCTATTTGCTAAACAATGAGAAAGAACCATAACTAGCTTCAAAGTCTATATTTCCAACAGTCACCGCTCACACAGGCTCCTCCTCACATCACAAGTCTGCACTAATAAATGTCCTTTTGATCCAGACTCAAACCGATTGTCTGTAAAAAGAATATAATCTCAGTGTTTGGATCTATGTCTGCGGGTATAAACAAGAGCACATGAGTGATGTGACTCTGGGGGTGTGTTCAGGGACAGTACAGACACAGACAAATTACTCCAGATAAATACTGATGCGGAGCCACATATTAGGACATTTATCTGTCTGTAAATTGGATTAAATCAGTGCTTCTCAATTATTTTCTGTCATGCCCCCCCTAGGACGAATAAAACATCTCGCGCCCCCCGCGTGACTATAAATAGTATCATTTGTCTATAAAATTGTTATAAATACACCTCTGCGTAACACTGCCACCTTATATGACGCCAACAATGCTCGCTGGTTTACTGAAGTAGCAGTCACAAGCGGGATGATTGTCGGCAATATTCGGCACGTTTTCGCTGAAAAATCTCAAGCGGCTTATCAGAGTGATTGGGGTGTAATGTATTTAAGTGACGCCTTAATTTATTGGGCTTCATGCTGTCCGCTGCCAACATTTTTAGACGCAGTAAGCACACCGGTCTTTCCTCGTCTCCCACCGTAGTCACAGTGAAGCCAAGCGCTACATACGCTTCGTCGTATTTCCTCGTCTTAGCTTTCGGGAGATTTTCGTTTGTCTCTTTATCTCCGTCTCTCTCCACCTGTCTTCTCATCCCTGTTAAATATTTTTTCATGGTGTCACTTGAGGGTCTGCTACACTTCGTGTCTACACTTCATACTCAAACTCGGTGCTGTGTGCAAAGCGCGCACACTCAGTGCAAACAAAACTCCTACACCACCGAGTGAATGCTCCCTGCGCACACTCTGCCAATGAGAGCGCCACTGCCCCCTAATGTAGTGGAAGTGCAATTGCACTTTATTCTAAAGGCCCGTTCAGACCAAAGGCCCGTTCAGACCAAAGCGTCAAAGCGTCCATTTTCTATGTAAAGTCTATGTGGACGCGCAACTAGAGCGTCCTGCGTTTTTGCGGCGCGTTTTTCGGCGTCAGCGCGGCGCGAATCTGGCGTCAGCGCGGCGCGTCTTCAGCGTTTTGGCGTCAGCGGCTAAGACGCGCGTCCAAGGCGTCAGCGTCAAGAAGTTGAAAATGCTGAACTTTTCGCGTCAGACGCGCCGCGTCAACCAATCAGGGACGAGTATCCAGAGACGCAGCGACGTTATTATCAGGAAGAAAGACCCGAGAACCAGAACGAGAACCACAAACATGAGCGGAGAATAAATATATACGCCACAATCACCGAGCCGATCGCGAGGACCACACCAGGACCGGACCAGGACCAAACCAGGACTAGACCGGGACTAAACAAGGACTAGACCGAGACTAGACCGAGACTAAACAAGGACTAGACCGGGACTAGACCGTGATTAGACCAGGACTAGACCGGGACTAGACCGTGATTAGACCAGGACCAGACCGGGACTGATCCAGTGTCATTAGCGGAGTATAAATATATATACGCCCCAGTCGTCGACCCGATCTCCTCCGTTGATGTTTTATGTCATAAAAACACTCTCTCAGTCTGGTCTGACATTGTTTCGGGAAAAGACCGGGACCGGGCTCTTGTTTCCAGGGCAACGGACGCGCGTCAAGTATTTTTGTCCCGTTCGTCCACGGCGTCAAAGACGCGCGTCGGGGGCGTCTAAACTCAAATGCAAAGGCTCGAAATAGAGGCGTCAAGGCGTTTTTTGACGCTTTGGTGTGAACGGCCCTTAAGACAGTAAAAAAAATCTAAATAAAAAAATAAAAAAGCATGTTCCCCGAGGTCAAACGCGCCCCCCTTGACGGAGCCTCGGGGGCGCGCCCCACTATTTGAGAAGCACTGGATTAAATGAACATAATGTAGAGAGTCTAGGCTTTATAAGGAGGTATAACATGCCCACGTGAAATATTGGCCCATATCGGCTGATAATATCGGCCAACTGATTTATCGGTCGGGCTCTAAAATTAATCACCAGATTAAGTAACTATTACGTTACAAAAAAGATGAATTTAGCCTTATTTGGCCTGCAAAAACACCAAAATGGACTCATAAATGTACAATTACAACAACCCAGGACAAAAAGCTATCTCCTTTACGCAGCAGACTGACAGACATTTACCAAATGCACTGATATCAGAACATTACAAACATGTACATGCCACATGACTGTGTTTATGCACTTGTAATATCAGTTTGGCATTTCTGTTCTGGTTTTACATGAGCTACACTTACGATGTGGTCCA